TCAAGGAATTACTGTGCAGTCTGAGACTCACGTTGACCAACATCTGATTGTCTTTGCCGGTTTGTAATTCTCACTACAGGGACACTGCCAACCACCCAGACATATACACTGTCCAAATGAAATTATCTTTCCACTGAGCTGAGTAATTTCAGGTACCAGTATATCTTGCCTAGTAGTCTCAAGGATGATGTTGGCAAGGTTGGGGGGGGGGCAGTTTTCTCTGATTAATAATATCTCCATCTGCAAATGGATTTCGATTCCTTGCAGATGGGGCCTTGGTTGGCTGTGAATTGATTTCATAGCTAGCTGGGGCGACCTTGCTTTGAAATGGTCACTGCCACTCCGTTGCGGGTGGGTCCTAAACTCAGGAGCAGCAGGCATATCACGGCAAACAGGTACCCAGGGCATCATTCTTCCAGATTAAAAGTGGAAACCTATTCCCACCCTGCAATCAAAGGAGTTTTTGCCATCGTAGATACCAATACAGAACTCATTCGCTGAAGGTGGCTCCTTACGCAGCCAACACAGAACCATCCGTGGTCAAAAAGGAAGGATTGGCAGGCTTGCAGGGGTAATGAGCTTTGCAAAAGTGTGTGTGCGCGTGCACACATGCACAAAAACACACACAGAGCAGAAAAACAACTTGCAACTTCTCAAAACGAAACAGGGAAATGTACAAACATCTGAATGAAGATTAAGCATGCTTTGTGGTCATGGAATGCTGATTAATAATAATAATAATAATAATAATAATAATGCAGCAATCTATGTTACCTAATACAAAATTATTAATTTGTTCAAATTATTGTCACCAAATAAATTAATAATATATGCAATGTATTTGTCACCTAATAGAGTCATACCTCGGGTTACAGAGGATTCAGGTTGCGCGTTTTCGGGTTACGGATGTGCCGAAACGTGGACATACAGGAACGGGTTACTTCTGGGTTTTGGCGCTCGCGCATGCACAAAAATACTAAATCGCGCTTTGCGCATGTGCAGAAGCGCCGAATCACAACCCGTGCGTGCGCAGATGCAGCACTGCGGGTTGCGAACGTGCATTCTGCACGGATCACGTTCGCAACCCGAGCATCCACTGTAATTCATTGTTTGTCACGTAATGCAAAATTATTAATTTATTCAGTTTGTCACCTAACAAAGAAATAATGTATGTGATTTATTTGTCATCTATTACAAAGAATTGATAATAATAATTTGGCAAATTTTTTGGTCAACAAATAAACTGCTGTTGTTGTCCTGTTGCGTTTCGTAGAATCGTAGTATTGTGGAGTTGGAAAGGATCCTGAGGTCATTTGGTCTAACCTCCTGCAATGCAGGAATCTCAGCTAAAGCATCCTTGACAGACGGCCACCCAACCTCTGCTTAAAAACCTCCAAGGAAGAAGAGCCCGCCACCTCCCTAAGGAGACTGCTCCATAGTCAAACAGCTCTTAGTATGGGAAACAGCCCTTCTAGAAAAATTAACTAATAAACTGAAACTGACACGGGGACAAACAGAAGAAGATGCCTTCACCCCGGTATGGCTCCCCTTTATCACATACACAGCCCAACAGGACAATGACAATAATCCACCAACAGCATACAAATCAATATGGCTAACCTGATCCAAAACACCCACCCACCTCACTCACACACGAAAACAAAGATCACCACAGCCAATCACAAGCAAACAATCACACACCCTAGGCCAACCCCAACCTCTCTCACCACCAAAGGAACACAAGTGAACTACACAAGCAACACTGACACCAAACTCTACATACATTAAACATAATAGAAACACCGCCACCTGACCCCACCCCCATCCATCTTCCCTCTCTCCACCCCCCTTTTCTTTTTTCTTTCTTTTATCTTCTCCCCCTAAGGCCTCAACAAATGAAACGGATTTGTAAAAATGTTACATGGGGAAAAAAATACAAGGCACTACACTTCTGTAAAACAAGAAAATCCTTAGTAAAATATTTTTTATATCATGAAAAACAAAAACAAAAAAAACAGAAAGTTCTTCCTGATGTTGACTCAGAATCTCCTTTCTTTCCCCCCTTTTTTCTAACTTTTTTATTATAAATTTTATTAGTATTTTCCACACAACAACACGAAAAATATCGAAAAAAATACACAAAACACAAAAACCCACATCCAAAAAACAAAAAAAACTAATCCATATCTTACAAGTTAATAATACTAAAAAGAAACACTAAACACTAAAAAGAAAAACATTGACTTCCACCAATCCCACAGCACCTCCTTTACCTCTCCTTGTGTCTTCCTGTCTTCCTGATCATCTCTAGCCTAGCATCTAGATATAAATCCCTCTTTCTTATCCTTTCACTTCACAAGGTTATTCCAGACTCAGCCAGATTTCTGTCCTCGAACCTTGGCTTTTGAGGTGTTCATTTAGACACACCCATTCTTTTTTTACTTCGCTTTTTGGTTTTGGTCTTCTTATGTCTGTCATTTTGGCTAATTCTAAATATTCTGAAAGCTCACATAACCACTCTCCCCTAGTGGGTAACGGATTCCCTTTCCAATACTTAGCCTGCAGACATCGCGTATAAGAAAAATTTTGTTTTGTCTTTTGGAATATCATCATTTAAAATTCCCAAAAGGAATGCCTCTGGCCTTTTACTATATGATATTCTTAGTACAGTGGTGCCTCGCAAGACGAAAAGAATCCATTCCGCGATTCTCTTCGTCTAGCGGTTTTTTCGTCTTGCGAAGCAAGCCCATTAGCGGCTAAGCGGATTAGCGCTATTAGCGATTTAGCGGCTTAGCGGCTATTAAAGGCTTAGTGGCTAAGCTGTTAAAAGGCTATTAATGGCTTAGCGGCTTTGAAAAAGGGGGGGAAAGCGGGGGGGAATGGCGAGACTCGCAAGACGTTTTCGTCTTGCGAAGCAAGCCCATAGGGAAATTCGTCTTGCGAAGCGCCTCCGAAACGGAAAACCCTTTCGTCTAGCGGGTTTTTCGTCTTGCGGGGCACCACTGTATTCAGAATCTCCTTCCTTGTAACTTGAATCCAGTGGTTTAGGTCCTAACCTCTGGAGCAGGAGCAAAACCACTGGTCCACCTAGCTCACTGCTGCTCACTCACACTGACTGGCAGCCCCTCTCCCAAATTCCAGGCAGGGGAAATTCCTATGTGGAGATGACAGGAACTGAACCGGGTACCTTCTGCATACAAAGCAGATGTTCTAGAACTGAGCACCAGCCCTTCCCAGTCCAGGAAGCCTGTTCCATCAGCTCTGTAAACAGGCCAGAGAATATTTTGTGCTGTTTGTCGGTGTCAATATTTTAAAATGGTAAACTGCCTTGGCAGAAAGGCAGTCTATAAATGGCAATAAATAAAAAGATTTCCCCCTCCTTTTTTTTTTTTTTTGGTATAGACTTACTTCTAAGACTGCAGCTTAAATTATTAGTTTACAAACCCCTGCCCTGGTTAGCATCTCACAAAACATCCTTTAATGTGAGAGATGTTTCTGCTACATTAAATCAATCTGAAAAAAAGCCAAATCAACCATAACTCTTAAATGATGCATGGCAAGGTATTTCTTTAATTAGCCATAAACTTAATTGATTAGTCTTCTCTAGAAGAGGAATGGGAAATGGAAAACACACACACACACACACACACAAACACACACACACTGGTGGAAAGCAACCTCGTAAACCTTTGAATGAAAGGGACTGTCTCCTTTTGATAAGTGCCAAATTAATCTTCATAAATAGCCATAATTACTAGAGACTGGGCCTCTGCCAAGTCCATCCATATTAAAAAAGAGTGAAATTATGCAATTGATTGTATCCACCGTCGTCTCTCTGGGGTATTCAGACAAGCTTTGACCCTGGCGACAAAAACGAGGAACTAAAATGTTCATGTCGAGGAGGGTGCTGCATGTATTAAAGCTTTGCTCTTTGTTTATACGCCGCCTCCCAACTCCCAGAGGACCTTCAGAGTGGCAATATACTCTTTTCTTCAGGGGGAGCTGGTGAGCCCATCAGAAGAGCGGAGGGGAAATTTAATTTGGATACTGATGACGTTAGCAGTCAGATAGGGGCTATCTGAGAGAGTGCAGGCAGGGATCGTTTGTGGGTTGGACAAGGGCCTGTGGTTAGAGGCGGAGATTTATGATTAGAACCAGGAACCTGGGATTATAGCTAAAGGCCTGGGATTGGTGATGTGGATTACAGCTAGGAATCTGGGAGCAGAACTAGGAACCTAGGATTGGAGCTAGGGGTTGGGGATTAGTGATAGGCATTTGGGGATTAGAGGGATCTAGGATTAGAGAGAAGAGATTTAGGATTAGAAATAGGAACCTGGGATTAGAGACAGGGACCTGGGATTAGTGATGGGGATTACAACCTCTGCTGTGTGAATACAGGGAGAAATTTATCCAATCACACACCTCTAATAGCAGTCATGTTCCCCAGCACCCATTTTACATGAGGGTTTTTGTCCACAGGACTTGTGCTTCATCCTGGCCTCCCTGTAAAATCTATGTTTGTTGGCTCTGGCCTCATCTGCCACTGCCGTATGGCCCTTGGAAACCTTCCCAAAAGGAAACATGACCCTCAGGTTGAAAAAAGTTCCCCATCCCTGTACAGGAATTATAGAGTGTTGACATATAAAACAGGCTTCCTCAACCTCAGCCCTCCAGATGTTTTTGGCCTACAACTCCCATGATCCCTAGCTAGCAGGACCAGTGGTCAGGGATGATGGGAACTGTAGTCTCAAAACACCTGGAGGGCCAAGGTTGAGGAAGCCTGATATAGAACCTGGATTATTCCTGCTTTAGGCCTCGTTTTTCTCGGGCATCATGCCAGGCAGTTCTGAACAAGTCCAGCAAGATTTTCCTTTTGGTCTGGTCCAGCAGATCATCTTCTTTTGTCTTTATGGATCTCAGCAAACTTGTAAAGCCACAATGCGCTTTCTTGGTGTTCAACAGCAGAAGGGGGAGCATCAAAAACTACAGAGGACAGAATACCTGCAGCATACTTTTTTATTCACCCTAGAACACAGGTTCCCCGCACATGGGCTTTTGTAAACATTTCCAAATGAAGGTACATGAATTATAGAAAACCAAAGGCGCCTTTTCCATTCCAATGTTTGAATACTCTTAAAAATTAATCACCTCCTCACCAAAAATAAAAAAGTTGGAAAACCATTTGTTATTAGGTGAAGTTGACTCCCATTTGCCAGAACTCCGCAATTTCTGTGCAAAATATTGCTTTTTATGTGGTTGAAAATTAGGCCCTGTGAGAAATAGAGAACATTTGAGCGAGGTACATGCGAGATGAAATAAAGGCTCTTGCTTTCATTAGGTTAATTAAGAAGGCTAGGAAAATGACTGAGGAAACCCAACTGTTTCTATGGCACACCCCTCTGCTGAGAAGCTCAAGGCAGATTTACGTCAGGGGTGGAGAACCTGCGGCCCTTCAGAATGTTTGGGGCTACATCTCCTATCATCCTTGACCACTCTTCAAGCTGGCTGAAGCTGATGGGAGCTGGGAGTCCAACTTCAGGAGGGTCAAATGTTCCCTCTTCCTGATTTATATACAAGAGCCTTGTCCTTCACAAGATGGGGTTTTAATGGAGAACCAGTTTGGCTAGCAGTCAATGTAGATTCTTGGGCCTTGTTTTGGCACACAGATTGCCAAGGTCGCACCACAAAGAACTTCCATCCATCTTGGGCCTCTACTCCAAATTGGCTGTGCCCTTCAGAATGTCCATCCAACCTAGCTCAAATTACACTTTCAAATACTTATAGTTTCTACTCCCATCCGCGCCATCAACTTTTAAATGGGAAAGTGACCTAAAAATGAGGGGACAGTAACAGATTTGCTTATTCACAGCACACAATATATCCCAAACGCTTGAGTACATTTCAACTCCTACCTAAGAAAGGATAAATTCTCAAGGCGTGAGGCAACAGAAAAGAAAGGAAGAAAAAGGAAAGACTCTGATACCAGCTCAGTTTCCTGCCACGAAATGATTTAACGGATAGAAATGAGACAGCAACAGAAGGACCACCACGTTGCACAGCGAGGCCTGTTCATTACAGTAGTTTCATAACTTTTGCCGCGGAAAATACCACGTAGGTTGAAGTCGCTTCCCTTTTTGGACAACACAGGAATAAAAAAATTCCACACCACTTCATTCCCATATAACCAACACCAACAGAGACTTCTCACCCCCATCCACACCGACACTTCCGTTTTAAGAAAGGAGAACATTATTTCTGGGGAAATGGATAAGCAAGGGGAAATGGCAAGCAACCTTCTTTTGCTCATTTCCTTCAAAGTCATTCTTCAAAGAAATTAAACGTCTCCTTAGTAGGCAGTCATTCATCGCTTCTGTATCCAAAGGCTAATCGTCCCCAGCTTCAACAGACTGAAGGAAACAGCTTCGAATAAGTTCGCTGCATCTTCTGTGCATCTTCTGTGCCCAAGGGTAACACACTTGAAAAATTGAGCTTGGGCCATGTCTCTGGGCACTGGGCAAGACAAGGCCATCTTGCTAACATAAGGCACTTACCTACTTTTACAGGGGAAGGAACAAAGAGGGTTGAGGCAAGAACGCAATGTTAACATGCAAGTTTAAAGAAAACATTTCCTGGCCACAAACGGCCACTGTATTAGCATTTAAGACCTCGCAGATGGATGGTTCAACTGACATCAAACGTCGGTCATAAAAGCTGCTCTTTCCTTGCAGATGTCAGGTCCGCACACTGGCGGGAGGTCCGTTAGTCCGGGATCTTTGGCGGTCATATCTGACAGACACAATAAGGAAAAGGAGAAGGGTTGCTCCTTGAATAGCAGCCAGCAGAAAAAAGTAATAGTTTAAATGGCACCCATTAATGTTACCTGGGGGGAAAAGAGAGAGAAAGAGACAAGGTAAGTTCATGCCATTACACAAAGTAATGCCATTCCACGTAAACCAGGATTCAAGCCAGTGTTAACTGGAACACAGAAACATTTTGCCAAAAGAGAAACACTAATGCTAGCTTCGGGACGCGGGTGGCGCAGTGGGTAAAAGCCTCAGCGCCTAGGGCTTGCCGATCGAAAGGTCGGCGGTTCGAATCCCCGCGGCGGGGTGCGCTCCCGCTGCTCGGTCCCAGCGCCTGCTAACCTAGCAGTTCGAAAGCACCCCCAGGTGCAAGTAGATAAATAGGGACCGCTTACTGGCGGGAAGGTAAACGGCGTTTCCGTGTGTTGCGCTGGCTCGCCAGATGCAGCTTCGTCATGCTGGCCACGTGACCCAGAAGTGTCTCCGGACAGCGCTGGCCCCCGGCCTCTTGAGTGAGATGGGCGCACAACCCCAGAGTCTGTCAAGACTGGCCCGTATGGGCAGGGGTACCTTTACCTTTACCTTTTTAATGCTAGCGTCACCGTGAGGTTGGCCGGTTTTCCTGGGGACAACTCACATCTCATGTCAGAGGCTGGCAAGGCTTACCAGGCTTGGGCCGGATCACTCCTGTGGAGATTATCAGCGGGCCGGACCGGCGCAGCGCGACACCAGAAATTGCGTCTGTGCATGTCCGTGGCGCCAGAAATCGCTTGTGCGCATGCCCAGATGCCGGAAATCACACCTGCACAGAAGCGATTTCCGGCGTCTGGGCATGTGCAGACGCGATTTCCGGAGAAAAAATGGTGCAGCCTGAACGATATGAATCAGAACCATGCGGTGATTTCTGGACCATTTGCGAGCTGGATCCAGAACCCATTCGGGCCGGAACTGGCCTGTGGGCCTTAGGTTGCCGACCTGTCTTATGTGCATTTAACACCCACGTTTCCAAGCACACACGCTCTGCTGCCGCTCTATCCCAGCCTTTTTCTTCTCCCTTCATCTGCCTTCTCTGCTTGCTTCCCTCCTCCTCCTTTCCGTCGGTCCAAAAACTACACCTGACCAGGCAAGTCCTGCCTGGCTAGCCTGCAAGGCTAACAGCTCTGGGAGTGGAGATGATGCAAGATTTCGAACCCACGATGATCTCACAAGGCTCTATGCTCCAGGTCCACTTGGGGCCTCCAGCTTCCCCACACCTCTGGCCCTTCACCTCCTTGGCCACCTTATAGAAAGGGGATGGCTAGCTGTGGGGCAGCTCTCCCCCCCACCCCTGCCCCATGCAAGACTAGGCACGCTCCCCATTTCCACCTATGCATGGTAGAGGGATGGCATAGATGACAGCTGCAAAGGTGGCCGGTCTTCGGTCACTTACGTGGAGAAAAGGAAGTCGTGGAGACATGAGGAGAGCTCCCCGCAGGGCTCCCCTCGCCCCTTGCCAGCCAAGGAAAAAGCAATTTTAGCTATACATGATTTTCGTACATGTGCATAATCCTTGGACCCGAACCCCTGCAGATGACGCGGGTTGCCTGTGTTCTTGGGAGCTGCTTGAGTTTCTAGAGAGCAGCCCATGGGCTAAAGTATTTTCTTTCTGCAGAAGCTGTCCCTCAATAGGAAACTGTGTTTTTTAATCATACTGGAGCAGTCTAGCAGTTTCCTTTTCTTGGAACCATGTGAAAACTTTCCTGAAATCTTGCTTTTCAATTAAGACACTTCAGTTTACCCGCACAGGGCTTGCACTCAGCTTTCCTTCAAAACTAGGGTTTAGTTTCCTAAATTAGGAAAGCTCATTGGTTGAAAATTACGCTTCTCTTAAGGAAACTTGGTTTGCTAATGTTGCATGTCCACACACGGCTCAACATGGACAGAGTCCAATAGACCTCAGGAGGACTACCCAACTGGTTCATTATAGTTATTACTTAGAACTGGGCAGGGACCAGGGTGGTGGGGCGTCAGAAAAAAATCTGTACTCATCAATCCTTGTTTGTGCATACATGTCAAGTTGAAATTACTTTAATTACGTAAAACGTAAGATTCAATTAAATGGATTTATAATTGCAAGCTCTAGGAAGAGCCCAAAGGGGCTTTGCACTTGACATGAAAAAACAACAATGCAGAGGACGAGTCTTTTAAAAGTAGCAATTTTCCTTTTACAGGTCAGGATGTTAACGCCATGAAAATCTCCATTTTTAAAACTCCAGAAATAATTTAATTGTTTCATGGGGGCTGGGTTGGCACTTGAGTGTTTGTGGGTAATTTAAGTGGTGGTTGGGAGCTAAAGAAACACAGTGATTTGAGCCAGCACAGTTAACACTGTGCTGCTGGGGCGTGTGGAGGAAATTGGATCAATCGGCCGGGGGAAATGATTCTGCCTGGGTTAGCCCTCCTGGATCGGAGCCCTCTATGAGGCTTTCCCCCCTTCTCCATCAAACCTTCTCTATACCTCAGAGCAGCTCCACCAATGTCGCAACACAGCGGTCCTCAAAGTGGATGCTGCTACTCCTTTGGGGGGGGCGGTGGGATTACCTGGGGGGGGGGGTTAACTGGGGGTGATGCTGGAGATGCCAGCGACTATCAGATTTTGAAAAGCCGGCATCAATGGATCACGTTCACCCATTTTGTTGAATTCATTAAGCTAGACAGTTTGGGTTGGATTTTGAAAATACCGTATTTTTCGCTCTATAAGATGCACCCGACCATAAGGCGCACCTAGTTTTTAGAGGAGGAAAACAAGAAACAAGAAAGCAACGCAAAGCCTCTTGAGCGAAGACACAGGTGCGCAGCGATCCCTCTTGGTCTTCTGGCTTCTGGGATAGCTGCGCAGCCTCTTCAGGGCAGCAGGATAAAGGCTCCCCACTGCCCTGAAGAGGCTGCGCAAGGCTAAGCCAGAAGCTAGAATAGCAAGAGAGAGCACTGCGCAACAATCCCTCTTGCTGTTCTGGCTTCTGGGATAGCTGCGCAGCCTGCATTCACTCCATAAGACACATACACATTTCCCCTTACTTTTTAGGAGGGAAAAGGTGCGTCTTATACAGCGAAAAATACGGTAAATGAGCAATTAGTTGCTGCCGCTTTGAATTTTACTGTGTTATCATGTTCCTTGTGCAAACCGCTATTCTAAACAATGCTTTTTATACAGCAGGGGGGCTCTGGGACAGAGTTTATGGGGCGAATGGCCCCCAAAATCTGGGAACCACTGTTGTACTGTAACAGCAACCCTGCTGGCTCAGACCAAAGGCCCGTCCAGGCCAACACCTTGCTTTCCACAGTCTCCAACCAGTTGTCTCCCAGGAAGTCCCTGCCACCTCCCTGGAGTGAGGCTCGTCGCCCTTCAGGGTATCAAGGCACTGCCATCCTCTAGCTCAGAGGACTCCATGGCTGAAGGCCCAGGAAAACTGAGGCTCTCCACACTCCATTGCAAGCAGAAGATGTCTGGGAATGGTCAGGTGTCTCTGAGCAGAGCAGCATCTTACAGAGGAGGTGGTGCTAACCATTAGGCTGCCCCTGATGTTATTACTGCTGCTATATAAGGGCTTGGGCTTCAGTGTGTTCCTTGCTGGAGCATCTTACAGAGGAGGTGGTGCTAACCATTAGGCTGCCCCTGATGTTATTACTGCTGCTATATAAGGGCTTGGGCTTCAGTGTGTTCCTTGCTGGAGCTACTGCAAAGTTCTGGATTTCCCAGAGGACACACTGAGCCTTGCCTCAAGCTTTGTGTCAGTCTGAATCCTCACTTGCCTTGCCTTCCCCCCTGAACCAGTCTTACAGTCTGCTTGGACCTTGCCTTGCTGCACTGCAAAGCGCAACATAGAATCATAGAGTTGGAATAGACCACAAGGGCCATCGAGTCCAACCCCCTGCCAAGCAGGAAACACCATCAGAGCACTCCTGACATATGGTTGTCAAGCCTCTGCTTAAAGACCTCCAAAGAAGGAGACTCCACCACACTCCTTGGCAGCAAATTCCACTGTCGAACAGCTCTTACTGTCAGGAAGTTCTTCCTAATGTTTAGGTGGAATCTTCTTTCTTGTAGTTTGGATCCATTGCTCCGTGTCCGCTTCTCTGGAGCAGCAGAAAACAACCTTTCTCCCTCCTCTATGTGACATCCTTTTATATATTTGAACATGGCTATCATATCACCCCTTAACCTCCTCTTCTCCAGGCTAAACATGCCCAGCTCCCTTAGCCGTTCCTCATAAGGCATCGTTTCCAGGCCTTTGACCATTTTGGTTGCCCTACTCTGGACACGTTCCAGTTTGTCAGTGTCCTTCTTGAACTGTGGTGCCCAGAACTGGACACAGTACTCCAGGTGAGGTCTGACCAGAGCAGAATACAGTGGCACTATTACTTCCCTTGATCTAGATGCTATACTCCTATTGATGCAGCCCAGAATTGCATTGGCTTTTTTAGCTGCCACGTCACACTGTTGGCTCATGTCAAGTTTGTGGTCAACCAAGACTTCTAGATCCTTTTCACATGTACTGCTCTCAAGCCAGGTGTCCCCTATCTTGTATTTGTGCCTCTCATTTTTTTTGCCCAAGTGCAATACTTTACATTTCTCCCTGTTGAAGTTCATCTTGTTTGTTTTGGCCCAGTTCTCTAATCTGTCAAGGTCATTTTGAAGTGTGATCCTGTCCTCTGGGGTGTTAGCCACCCCTCCCAGTTTGGTGTCATCTGCAAATTTGATCAGGATGCCCTTGAGTCCATCATCCAAGTCGTTGATAAAGATGTTGAATAAGACCGGGCCCAAGACAGAACCCTGTGGCACCCCACTAGTCACTCTTCTCCAGGATGAAGAGGAACCAGTGGTTCTGAAGGCCACTGAGAGATTGAGCAACAGTGCCCCCACCTGGAAGACTACTGCTGTTGCCCCCTCCCATGCAATTGGTGTCAGGACCACAATCCCTCAAGGACCGCCTTGCCCCATTTGAACCGACCTGGATCCTGCAATCATCAACCGAGGCCCTTCTTTGTGTGCGTCCTCCACGAGAGATCCAAAGGGTGACAACACGAGAACGGGCCTTTTCTGTGGTGGCTCCCTGTTTGTAGAATGCTATCCCCAGGGAGGCTCGTCAGACACCTTCATTACATATCTTTAGGTGAATGGTATCCTGTGGCTTAAACAGCAGGAGGCCAGACACGACTCTCCTGCTGGTCTTTGTTCACAACGCTGCAGATAGGAGCAGAGCCATCGTTGCTTAGTGCTACTGAGACCCATCCAGCAGGGTCAGTCCAGAAGGATACTATAGCCAGTGGTTCTGAAGGCCACTGAGAGATTGAGCAGCAGCAGCATGGAACTTCCATCTTGGGCTACTGCAAAGCGCTCTAAGTGGGGCTACCTTTAAAGGTGACCCAGAAACTGCAACTAATCCAGAATGCGGCAGCTAGACTGGTGACTGGGGGTGGCCACCAGGACCATACAACACCGGTCCTGAAAGACCTACATTGTCTCCCGGTACATTTCCGAGCGCAAATCAAAGTATTGGTGCTGACCTTTAAAGCCCTAAACGGCCTCGGCTCAGTATACCTGAAGGAGCGTCTCCACCCCCATTGTTCTGCCCAGACACTGAGGTCCAGCGCCGAGGGCCTTTTGGCAGTCCTCTCACTGCGAGAAGTGAGGTTATAGGGAACCAGGCAGAGGGTCTTCTTGGTAGTGGTGCTTCCCTTGTGGAACACCCTCCCTTCAGATGTCAAGAAAATAAACATCTGACTTTTAGAAGACATCTGAAGGCAGCCCTGTTTAGGGAAGCTTTTAATGTTTGATGTCTGGGAATGGTTGTGTTTTTAATATTCTGTTGGGAGCTGCCCAGAGTGGCCGGGGAAACCTGGCCAGATGGGCAGGGTATGTATGTATGTATGTATGCATAAATAAATAAATAAGAATAAAGTTCATCCATCAGAATGACAGAGGCTGATTTGGCCCCTAGCCAGGCCTGAATCCAGGCTAGCATGGATTGAGATAGTCCGTCTCATCTGGCAATATCTGAAGCTATTCCCCCACAACCCTCTCAGTCGCCATTCCCCAGGAAGGAAGGAGGGTTCTGCAACCAGAAGATAGTAGTTACAATCCATCGGTTGGTCTATAACCAGCTAGTTTGCTCAGAGGGCACCAAAATGAAGGAGAACCCCAGTGTCAACTGCTTTGCTCAGCGAACAATTTCCCCAGAACAGCCTCTAACAGCATTCTAAAGACAGTAACGAACGAACCAGCATTGTTATACGGGGGTGGGGGGTGGAATTATTACAGGGTCGTTTTGGAATTTCTGTGTAATCGTTGCTCAGCTTTTAAAATGCCTCCTCTGGCGAAGGTTGCCACTGAAAATTGCAGCTTAGAAAAAAACAGCCGTGCCTAAGATAGGAAAGTTTTTAAAATTAACAGCATGCGGCAGCTTTAGGAATAAGTACTCTGCTTTTCTTTTTCCTCTAACATGCTGGAACGAAAATAATAAGTAAGTAAGTAAGTAAGTAAGTAAATAAATAAATAAATAAAAATAAACAAACACATAAATAACTTACCCAAATCTGTGTGATTACTCATCCAGCCAATCGCTGTAATAGACACCAAAGCCAGAAGCCCTGATCCAACAAAAGACCCAATTCCGGAAAAAAAAGAAAAAGAGACCCATAATCGCACTCTGCATAGATTTGGGAGCAGCAGAATATGCAAATTCCAGACCTGGAACAAAAGAACAAACGGGGAGAGGCATGAAGGCAAATTCTATCCATTATTTTGGGGAACATTTTTTCACGAGTATAAAGGCCATGAAGACACGGGCTCCAAACCTGTGGACTCACAATTATTATTCATCACACATTATTTGTAATGTTTATAGCACATTCTAAGACAGTGAGCGAGAGATATAATTACAGGTTTATTTGTATCAGCCCCAGCAAGCATGGGGGGTGATTGGAGTTGTAGTTCAGTAAGCATCTGGAAAGTCAAAGGTTCCCCACACCTGATTTACATCATAAAAGGCTACTGTGGAGCATGTTAAACACTATGCTATAGAATGTAAAACTTAAGAACCAAAACCCTTTGGTTTAAGGGTTTAAACCTCACATATTTACTCATGTGCTAAAAGATGGAAGGGGTAAGTTAAGGCAACTGCCTTAACTGACATGTAGACATTGGTTTGATTACACACACTTACAACTCAGCCTCTGTGCACCTATGTCTCTTCCTTTGCATGAAGGAATGCTCCTAGTAATATGCAGAATGCACAGCCCTCCATAGAGGCTTTCAAAACATCAGCCTGACCTTACATCAGCCCCGAACCCCAACTTTTGTTCAACTTAGGGGGTTTTTTTTAGGGAAGGCTCATGCCATTGTTTCTGACAATTGGATAAGCTTGCTGGAGAAGTTGAGAGTCCAACGGCATCTTGGAAGGACGCAGATTCCCCATCACTGCTCTGCAACTGCAGCAAGATTATCCAGGTGCCTCTGACTTTGCAAACAGGATTGCAGATGAAAGACGATGGCTGCATTTCTAAAAGCCTCAGAAGTTGAGCTCGTATTGCTGGATAAAAGACTGCTATAAACAGAGCCTGGTTTCTACTCCGTACGAAATCTGGGCTCTTTGTGCAAAGGAAAGGACACGTGCGTTTCAAAGCAAGGAATGTGTCATAATTGCTGCAATTCAACTTATTATGCAAATTGAAGGGCTTAACGGAACAGCGCAATGGAGAGCCCCATCAAAACATTCAGCACTCCGCCACTCTCCCAGAATATCCAACCAAAGCGTTCGACAATCTGCCACTCTCCCAGAATATCTGACTCCCATCTCTGAGGTGCTGAGCTTCTCATTCTTTGCCTTTTAGCTCAGAAAACCGCCAGAAGATTGAAACAAAAGCTTTGTAGAGCAACTGGAAGAGGGGTGGACAAATGTCAAAAAGCAATTAAGAGCGGCAGGGAGTCTCCAGTTCAAACACAAACTCTTGTGTTTTATCCCAGCACTCCGGCTGCAGAGGATTCGAAAGCGGAAGCATGTTGCATGCTGGAAGAAAACTTAAAATAACTACGCAGGCTGCCAGACAGTTTTCCAAGCACAATTCAAAAGCACCGGTGCCTACTTTTAAAATCCACCCTGCAAAAAGGTGGGACAAGCTTTCTATTTCTGGGGTCGGCATTAGGGAGAAGTTTCTGATTCTAAGAGCTGTTTGACAGTGGGACGGGCTCCCTCGGAAGGTGGACTCTCCTTCATTTGAGGTTTTTATACAGAGGTGGGATGACCATACGCCGGTGATTATTTAGCTGCGATTCCTGCATTTTAGGGAATTGGACGAGATGACCCCAGGGGGGTCATTTCGAGTTTAACAGTTACAGTCAATACCTTGGGTTACAGCCGCTTCAGGTTGTGTTTTTTCAGGTTATGGACTGCCGAAACCTGGAAGTACCGGAACAGGTTTACTTCCGGGTTTCGGGGGTCACGCATGTGCAGATGCGCTAAATCGCACTTTTGAACATGGCGCAGAAGTGCCAAATTGCAACCCACACGTGCACGACCCCCAAAACCCGGAAGTAACCCGCATGGATCACGTCCGCAACCCGAGCGTCCACTGTATTTGATTCTATATGCTTCTTTAACAGAACTTCAAGGTCCACCACCAACAACATAGGAAACTGCCCTATACAGAGTCAGGCCATTGTTTCCATTTGGCTCAGTACGGCCAGGAAATTCCCTGTGTTGCAAAAACAGAAAACTCTAAACAACCACAAGCATCATGCGGCTAATAATGATCTAACAAAATATTATTAACGTTATACTGTTTCACAGTTCATAAGCAGAAAATATGTCATCCTTGCATAAAGTCACTAGTAATCAGAGTCAAATAAATGTTCCATGCACAGAATCAGAAAGTGAGATCAGTCAGTATCAAAACACGCTGAGATGAAGGCAAATTGTCTTTCAACAGTCAAAATCCTACAGAAGTGCAGTGATGAGGGCTCCAAGTGTAGAACAGTTTTTCCGGATAACGAACTGTTTCAATAATGATTCTTCGTCAGCAAATAAGTTGCCCCTGCAGGTACTTCAAATAGCAGTGGATCAGCAATCACTTAACAGTGTAGTAAGCTGAGGGGATGGTTCAGAGAGAGACCGGCTTTAAAAGGGATTTAGATGAAGTCTTGGAGTGTAAGGCTATCGGTGGCCACAAGCCTCAATCGCTGTCTTCTGCTTCCGCTGTGGGAGGCAGTATGCCTCTGAATGCCACTTGCATTGGAGAGGAAGTTGTTGCACCCAGATCTAAATAAAGGAAGGCCCTGCAACATCTACATCGTCTCACATATAAAGATGATCCAGCATTGAAGATGGGAAGGTGTACCATGGGAACAGATTGGGCCACATGCTCCCTGTGGACTCTTTGTGCAGCGCCGAATGCCAGTTTTAGAGCCTTGCGATGACAAGCTTGAGATCTGGTTCCTTCCCATTTATTATGGCTCATCGGGTGCAGAGGGCAGTCAGGAAATAGCAAGAGATCTGTTGTGAATGGCAAAGTAGCAAATTAGCTGCCTAAACAACAGCTCCATCTCTATTTGCGATTCTCAGCAACCGGTATCCAGCGGTTGACTGTCTCCAGCCCTGCATTGCCACTGCGGTTTGTATTCACCACACAGTAATAATAATAATAATAATAATAATAATAATAATAATAATATAATTTATTTGTAACCCGCCCATCTGGCTGGGTTTCCTCAGCCACTCTGGGCAGCTTCCAACAAAGATTAAAAATACATTAAAATGTCACACATTAAAAACTTCCCTGAACAGGGCTGCCTTCAGATGTCTTCTAAATGTCAGGTAGTTGTTTATCTCTTTGACATCTGGTGGTAGGGTGGTAGGGTAGGGTGGGTGCCACTACCGAGAAGGCCCTCTGCCTGGTTCCCTGTAGCTTTGCTTCTCGCAATGAGGGAACTGCCAGAAGGCCCTCAGTGCTGGACCTCAGCGTCTGGGCAGAACGACGGGGGTGGAGATGCTCCTTCAGGTATACTGGACCCAAGTCAAGGTCAGCACCAACACTTTGAATTGTGCTCGGAAACGTACTGGGAGCCAATGTAGGTCTTTCAAGACCGGTGTTATGTGGTGTCGGCGGCTGCTCCCAGTCACTAGTCTAGCTGTCACATTCTGGATTAGTTGTAGTTTCCGGGTCACCTTCAAAGGTAGCCCCACGTAGAGTGCATTGCAGTAGTCCAAGCGAGAGATAACTAGAGCATGCACCACTCTGGCGAGACAGTCTGCGGGCAGGTAGGGTCTCAGCCTGCGTACCAGATGGAGCTGGTAGACAGCTGCCCTGGATACAGAATTGACCTGTGCATCCATGGACAGCTGTGAGTAAGGGCATTAAGATGAGGAAACAAAACCTGGTTGGTTTTTCTCACAGCCTGATGGTGCTCAGCTTGTGGTAACATGCAGGTGAGCTTTTCCACTGAAGGTTGGCTTTTTCCATCCCTGCAGAATGCTTCCAGGCTAAAAGACGATAGGCCCATCAGTACTGGCATTTCGTCAGCTCTTGAAGACACACCAGTTTAGGCAAGGTTTCCTCTGAACTTGACCTTCCTAATTACTTATTTTATTTATTTTCCGTACAATTTTTATTAGTTTTTCCTTTTATAACACAACAAATCCAACCTTGCAATTACAAGCAAATATACTCTTTGCTCTGCCGAGCTTGCGACTTCCCTCTGTCCCTTCAATTGGTGTGTTTTTTCAGATCTTTGCATCACACTTCAAATTATCAATTTCTGACCTTAATATCCTTGTAGTCAACTCTATCTCTTTGGTCTGAAAAGTTTTAAAGTTTATCGTTGCCGGATTTATTTCAGTCCCGCTAGTGTCTTCACATTTCTAAAATAATTGTTCATATACCAAATAAATTTATTCCCAGTCTCTTCGAAATTTGCGATCAAAGACCCAATTACTTACTTTAATCACACTTTTAACTGTTTAAATTGCTAAGCCTTTTAACAAGCTTGTTTTGTTGCAAATTTTTAATCACGGATGTCAGGGAACTGCCATCAGAAGCAAGAGGAGAGGTAAGACGCTCCAAATGATGCAGGGGAGGGAACTAGCAAGGAGAGAGAGAGAGAGCTTCCGCTGGGGAAGGAAATCCAGAGGACACCAGGAGGAAGGGGAGGCTGAGAGTACTGCGGAGAGGAGGCTCCGAGACTCTTCCAGTGAAATCAGCGGAGAGAGCACAGGACCTCCGCTTGGCACCCCCACGCTGCGCAGAAGGCTTCCGCGCAGAGAATCTAGGAGGAGACTGGGCGTCAAAGAATTTCTATGTTGGAGGAAGTTTAGGAGACGCCCACTCACGGATTCTGCCAGTGACTAAGACAGTCGCGTTGTAAGGGCTGTTAAACCAGGGAAAGTTTGCAGTTTACGCACAAGCAACCCCCAATTCCCATTACAACAGATATTTTATATATTTTCTTGGAACTGTACCATTATGTATTTTAATTATTATGGATTTTATAGTGCCTTTTTAGAAAATACAAAAAAACAGGGAGGCATACATTTTCTCTCCCCTCCCTTCATTTCACCCTCACAACAACCCCTTAAGGTAGGCTAGGCTGGGAGACAGTGGCCAGTCCACACTCAACCTGACCCTTTTGGTATGAATTGTGGGATAACCTGAAGAAATCCCAAGGCCCTGAAGGACAATTCTCGCTTTTATGAACTGGGATAACAAAACAGA